AATTAAAATGAGATGCATGACCAAACACATTCTTCCGATGTTTTTTCTGTATCCTTACATTTTCTCATTCCCCCCAGCCCACTGGACTCTACACAAAAGGGGCAAGTAAACTAAACACTATTCAAGGACTGTTAAGCCTATGGCTCAAAACAATGATATTGGTATTCATTGCTTACCAATGTTTATTTTCCAACTAGAAGGCAAAAATGATTAAAAATTAAAAGAGTATTAAACATAAATAAATGACAGCAGATTATTGTACTTAGTTCCTAAACAGGATAACTCTTACTTGATTAAAATCAGTAGCAAAATCTCTACTGATTTAAATTTATGGCTTGTGTGAGAAAATTCACCATGGCTGCTGCTAGGATTTGTTTTCTTAAGTATTATCATTTTGCTGCTGAAGTTTCTATAGAGGTAACATGAGGGGTTTTGAAAGAGCTATATGTTATTATCTTAGTTTGAGGATTTTAAAAAAATACTTTCCTGCTGCTGCTCTTTATTTCTTATTTAGAAGACTGTGAATATATTATAGTCCTAACTTATTTTCTATCAAATATTTGCTTTTAAATCAATAATTAATTTGCACACTGATAGCAAAAATATAGGAAAAGTGTTGAAAGATCTTTTTGTTTTTTACAAATATATGCAAACATGCCTGCAATCTGATCATTGTCTTCTTGGGGGCTGATCTTGTTATTAATAGCAGCTGAGCAGAATTGAAATGTTAGCATGTTTTTAAAACTGGGCTTTTATTTTGATTCTTTCTGACCAGTTAAGCATCTCTGAACATTAACAAGGAAGGAAGGAAATTGACCATTAGAGTTCTTTTTTAAAATGAATACATTCATTCTGGTGATGGAAAAACTCATGTAAAACTTTGGGGTGCATATTAATATACTGCTGTGAATGCATTAGACAAGCTCCAGTGAAGTGGCTAATCTGTTTGACAATTAGTGACAAATTCACTAGCCTAAAAAATTACTTCCTAAACCAACTATGCAACTTTTTACTCAAACACTTATTTCTAAAACTTTGGTTTACGAATATTTTCTTGTATTGCTTTTCCAGTAATTATTATGCACTTTATATTGAACTAATCTAGTACAATTTATCCAAGATTTAAAACTGTAGAATGTTTTAAAATCATTAAGCAACATTCATACTGAAGCAGCTTTCTTCCTCTAAAATATTGCTATTTTATGATGATCCCTATTTCAAATGTGATAGAGTAGATGTGCAAGAAACAGAAAATGTGAAGCTATTTAGAAATGTTTCATCGGATTGGCATTTGGTCTTTTACCACAAAAAATGACCCTGAAATTAAGCAAGAATTAAATTAATTAAACATAAATTAATTAAAAACACATTATAATAGGTGCAGTTATTAAATTATATTGGCATAATAAATCCATTGTCAAAACAATTCAAGAAGCTTAAATTGATTTGACAAAGAGTAGTCTTAAAGCATTATGTTTAGTCTACTTGCTATAAGAAGCAGTCCCACAAGAATTGATGAGATAGTTCTGGACTACATGTTTTTAAGCTTAAACATCAGTCACATTACACCATATGTATGCTAGATTCTGTTATCTTTGACTTGGAACAGGGCATCTTATAAATTTAATATGTCTGCTTTGTCAATTCAGTCTAAGAAGTAGACAAAAAGATTATTCCCCCCCTTATTCCCTCTTGCCTCCAGAAAGTTTGTTACTTACACAGTTCAAAAATATATTTAATTTTACTTGAAAATAGCTGGTCAATGACTAAAATAAAGACTTGACTTAGCTATATTTTTTAATACATATCACTTCTAATGCATTCTTGAAAGCAATCTCCTTTATTTGATCTTAGTAATTAAAAGTGATTAAGTAACTGTCTTTGCATATCTATGAATATGCTACTTTAAAACTAATGTCTTTTCTGGCAATAACTAGGCAATATGAACTCTACAGCAGAGATCATTTGATCTTCCAAGATAAAATGTGGAAAATGTTGCTTTATAGGAATATAGGAATAAAAGTAATCTAGTGTTATCCAATCACCTTTGTTCATTTTTTGTTTTTGCTTGAGTTTTTTGCATAAATTCAGTAAATGAAAATTATTGTTCATTTCCGTAGCAATGCAATTTATGAAGGACTTGGATAGTTTCTGATAAATAAATACATGAAAAGCATTGAGAAAACCTTTCCTCTATCAAATATCACCTAACTTAAGATAATACTGAATCTTCAGCACTAATAGTCCCTGATAGATCTGCCCTCCATATATTTATTCAATCCCCTTTCAATCAATCAGAAAATGGATCAAAAACACATTCTACAATTGCTTGGCAACTGAACAGTTGCTTTGAATACCTTCTTTACTATGTCCTTCCAGAATCAGTAAATTGCTACCGGTGAATTGAAAATATTACATGATCTGTAACATTTCAATTTATAATCTATCAAATGAAAAAGTATAAGATAAATTCAATTGCTCTGAAGACCTAGCTCTTTATTCAGGCTTTTGCCAAGAGAGACCCTCACTTCATTGTGCTTGCCATCTTTTTTATTTTTTATATTTTATTGTCATTTCTTTATTTGATTGTTGTGAGCCACCCAGAGTCATTAGAGTCAGGTGGCATATTGGTTTAATAAATTATTATTCTCATGGTTGGTCATACAGTCAACCAGATATTTAGACTGGATTTGGCATTTTTATCCATCTATTCAGTACTTCCCAAGGACCTGGGATAGACTGGTGTTGTTTAATAATATTAAAAGTATTGTTGCAAAATGTAAAGTGTTCCAAGTAAAAATGTCTTTTGATGGTGATTTTGTCAATGCCGATGCTCCAGATGTTCTGGGATTGCAAAAGGCACTTATCACTTTTGTCATATCTTTGCTTTTTTTTTGCCACAGTTGTTGTTCTTGTGTTTGAGTTCTTTGTATTTTCTCCAGTTCTTTTTCTTCTCATTTGCTGCCTCGAAATATTGCCACATCTACTATCCAGATTTGTTGCCATTCTTATCAGCAATTGTTAAATATGGGGTGTTATGTGGCAAGTGCTTGTCTGCCCCAGAGCACTTTACCTTCTTCATTTTCTATTTGTCTACTTTGTGATCCCACTAGTTCTTGCTTCCAGGCAAATGGCATTTCTTGCAGACATACCACTGTTGCTACTTTGTCATACCATTGTTTGTAGTCAGTCTTTACAATCTTCTTGCAGCAGCTAACTAAGTGGTCCATTTTTTTCTTCAGCTTCTTCGCAGAGGCAGCATTTGCTGTGTTTTGCTGTCTTCTCAATTCTGGCTTTGTATGCATTTGTTCTTAAAGCTGGGTCTTGTGCACCAGAATTAGCCTCTCTGTCTCTTTCTTCAAATTTCCTACTATTAGCCATTGCCAGATCTTATTATTATCTGCTTTGCCTGCTATTTATCTAATATACCGGCCATGTAATCTTTTTTGTAGGCTAGTTTGGTCTCTCCAGTACTCAATGAGCCTTTATGGTATACTAGTTTCAGTTCATCTTCTTCACCTTTTTTCAAATATTTTTCCGATATCCTTTTTTTCTTATTAACTGTCTGTTATTATTACCGGTTATATCTGGTCTTCATTAAAGGATATCTGCATAAGTGCCCCTGTTTCTAAACACAATAGAAGATGAGTTTCCCACCTTTTGGCTTGCCTGGGCCACACTGAAGTGACGGGGAATTGACTTGGGCAGCATATAAAATATGTAATATAGTTAATGTACATAAATATCACTAAAAACACAGAATAATGTTAAATGTTTCCGACCTGGGAGAGGGTTGTCACATTACTAGCTGTCTAGGAGTGCATGCAGCCCATGGGCCAAGGGTTAGACACACCAAAATAGAAAGAATTAGACTTTCTTCATTCTACATTTTCTTTCCATTCTTCAACATACATACATACATACATACATACATACATACATACATACATACATGTTCACTGTAGCAAAGCTTTGATTACATATTATTTTAAAACATTGTGATAATTGATGCTTCTCTCCAAATGCAGACAATGAATGACCTTGTTCAGCCAAAATTTACTCCTGTTTCCCATTCAAGTATCTTTATTGTGAGACTGAAAGACATATGGTGGGGTTTGGGAATCTTTGATGTTGCAAGAAGTGTTTTCTAGGTCAAAATATATATGGGAAACCTCTGAATTTAAGATGGGGAAGTGGCGAGGATTGCTGCTTTATGTAAACATATGCACACAATTTGTTCATTCTGGTTGTAATTTATGAATATGAGGGTGCCTCACCTGCTTTTTCCATTTTAGCTTTTTAAAATGACAGGATCTTAAATAGGCAAAAGGATTTTAAGGGGCAAAAAGATTTGCCTAAATAGACCACAACAATTTATCTTCTATAAATCCCAAGATGTGGCTTTCTAGGCAATTGTTAATGTCATTGTACAATACAAGGAGCATATTAAACAAAAGTCTGAAAGACTGTTAAAAATAACCAAAAATTATGTTAAAAAAGCAATACAGAAAAATTAGAAGAATTCAGATGTCTGGGTTTTAGTCTGATGTTCAAACAATTTCTGAATAAACTTTTCTGTAAACTATAAAACAGATACAGTTAGAGTCCAATACAGTGGATAGTCTTGTTAAAAGTTTTATTGTAGAACAATTTTTCTTGGGTTGGCACCACTAAAAATTGAGATACATACAGAGAGAGAAAGTCAAATGTGCTTGTTAATATATACCACTATTTGTATCTGCAAACTAAAATAATTACATCTCAAAGGGGCGGCTTTGGGATTTAAAAAAAGTATGCTACAACTGAAGTGTGGTACACAAAATAACTGAATCTTAGTAAAAATTGTTATGCACCTATCTGTTTTTTTATTTACTTGTTTCTGTGAGGACATGTTCATGTAGAAAGTTAATACAAGCCTTGTCTGTGAAGCAGAGAACCAAATTCCCTGTCCCCAGGTCAGTAAAGTCATTACATGTGTTAAATGTTTGATCTCTTTACAGGTGGGAAGGAAAGGATGAGAACGAAATGGGCCGATGCAGAGAAACAGGCAAGATTCACGTGACAGTTAATCATAAATACTACAGACCAACGGAAGTAGTAAGTGAAAACATTCTTTCAGTTTTGTTAATGAATGCTCCAATCACTCAGTCACCAAACTGCAGCACTTGGACAGCTGGTTACAAGAGGTTTGTAATTGCTTCCCTGCTGCTAACTTTCAGTCTTTCTCAATAGTTAGTTGGCCACTTACAGCTTTCAGTTGTCTTCAGTAAACAAGCAGATGGTGGGGACCATAAGTGGGAGTGATTATTTGATGTTCTACGTAGCCTAATTTTGATATAATTACCATTGATGTTCTGGACATATAATACTTTGCAGACTGCTTGATAAAGAAATAATAACAGAGGCAATGTACTTAATATATTTATCATTTCCACTTTTACTTGTTCTATTGGTAAAGAAATTAAGATCCAACATGTGGATTTGCCTGGGGATATAGATCAGTGGTTCTCAACCTTTCTAATGCCGTGACCCCACAATACAGTTCCCCATGTTGTGGTGACCCCCAACCACTTATACATCACCGGGTGCCAGGGGCGTGGCCAAAGAAAAGGGGGAAAAATGGCGGACAGCCTTGTTTGGCGACCCCTGTGAAATGGTCGTTCGACCCCAAATGGGGTCCCGACCCACAGGTTGAGAACCACTGATATAGATAAAAAAACAATACTTAAAGAATAAGCAAATGGTCCTGAAACAGACAACCTTATAAATTTATATTGACAGAATTTTGATTTAGCTGTTTTATGTAGAAAGTTAACAATGTAGAGATAGTCCTTGACTTACTACCACAGTAAGGATCAAAATTTCCATTGCTAAGCAAGGCAGTTAAGCGAGTCATGCCCATTTATACAGCCTTTTTTGTCATGGCTGTTAAGCAAATCATGCAGTCATTAAATGAATCCAGCTTTCCCCATTGACTTCCCCCATTGTCAGAAGCCAACTGGGAAGGTTGCAAATGATCACATGACCTCAGGATGCTGCAACCATCATAAATACACATCAGTTGCCAAGTAGTCTAACTTTAAGCAGGTGACTGTGGGGATGCTGCTGCAGTCATAAGTGTGAGGACAAGTTATGTCACTTTTTCAATGCTGTTGTAACTTTGTATGAACTAAACAAATGGTTGTAAACCAAGGATTACCTGTATTGCAGAAAATTCATAACCTGAGAGAATGGTTATACATCAGGGACTCATAAATGTTTAAAAGATTTTGGTAGACTGTTTTTCCTCTGTACTGTTCCTATGGGCATTAAAATTAGGTTTTAAAATAAGTTACACATTCTCAAAACCTAATGTGTGTGTGATTCTTAAACAGCAAGCATTTTTAATGATTAGAATAATTTCTTGACAGATTTATAGTTTCATTTTTTTTATTGTTTTGACAACTCACTTGGGGCTTTTCTGTAGAAATAAATCAAAGTGAGCATCTTAACAAGAAAATGATTTAATGTAAATAATGTTAACTGAGCAATACATTATCAGAGAACACCATTAGTATACAATTAATATTTCTGTTTTACCATGATCTCAAGAATTGCTTTTCAGTTGTCCATTTATTAATGAGAAGGATCCCTATTTTATGAATTGGGCAGTATTTTACATAATTAGATATTCTTGCCACTGTCTGGGAGCAAACTGTTGAGGAGGTTTACAAGTTCCAATGAATACCTTATTAATGAGTTTCCACACTATTTGACTTGAGAACGGTGCTGTTATCCAATGAGGCATATCTAAGGCAAGTTGCATGACAGTATCTCTAATTAGCCTAAAGTATCCCTGTTGGCTATATTTCTTATACATCAGGGATTTTATATGAAACCTAATAAAGAACTCAGAACCTATGAAGTAACTGTAATTTTATTTACCCATTATTTAGCTAGAATCATTTTGCTAATGTGTAGGTGGTATTTTGGGAAAGAGATTATAGATCAGTGATGGCGAACCTCTTAGAGACAGAGTGCCCAAAAACCACCCAACAACCCCCGCTCCACTTCCCACCCTGCCTGCTCTGCCGCTGCCTGCCCCTTGCCCCCCTGTCTGGCCTCCATGGCCCGTCACAGATCGCCCAGGCAGTCCTGCAGTACCATGGCAGCTACGCCCTCCGCCCACACCCCACAGCATCATCTAAACGTTATAGGGCAGTGTTTCCCAAACTTGACAATTTTAAGGCATGAGGACTTCAACTCCCAGAATGGGAGCTGGCTGTGGAATTCTGGGAGTTGAAGTCCACATGCCTTAAAATTGTCAAGTTTGGGAAACACTGTTATAGGGCATGAGGGCGGAATCTTGTCCCTGCTGTCCGGCTATGTCCTTGGCTGCGCTGCTCTGTGTGGGCTGCACCCAGGGGCAACTCTCCTCCAGGGTGGCTGCTGGTGAGGGGACGTGGGGGGAGGCAGGGCTGGGGCGACAGTGTGTGTGCCCACAGAGAGGGCTCTGAGTGCCATCTCTGGCATGAGTGCCATAGGTTCGCCACCACTGTTATAGATATTTGTTTCTCTTTGTGCCCTTCTTTTTAGTGAGTGGCTTTTCGAATCATTCTACTTCTCCGGCAAACTGACCAAAGATAGGGCATATATAGATTTATAAAGTATCTTTTTGTTTAAAATTATGGGTTAGAATTATTTTTAAAGCCAAAAATGTTTGTGTTTAATCAAGTATTTGGGAATGCTTGATTTTTAATTCAGTTCCCTCTACCCTATACCATGAGCTGCTTTTTTTGCTACGCATAGCTAATTAAAGTCCTTCCTTCTAGTTATGTGTGTCCTCATTGTCCATGCCATCTATACTTCTGTGATGTTGAGATCAGTCTCACAAGATGGCTAATTTGCGGAAGATAGCCAGTCACAAAATACCAATCCTGTTTATTAAAAAGAAACTAGATAAGATTGCTAAAAGTATCTACGGGTCTGGTAGTGCCCACAAGCATATTGCTTACTTCAGTAGTAGGTAGTATAGAGCAGCCTAGAAATAACTTTGGAAAAAAATATGAAGTGGCAATTAGTGAAATGTGTAATTAGTTTAGGAAAACAAGAAAGCCTGAGGAAGAAACTGCATTGGCTCACTTTGGGATAAGAAAAAAAGATGGGAAAATGCTGTCAGATTCTTAAGCTTCTGTTGTCAAATATATCAATAAAGAAGAGTTATAGTATGTCTTCTGGTATCTGATTCCTGACCTGGTCTATCTCAGGCATATCACTTAGTTCAGTGATGGCAAACTTTTAGAGACCGAGTACCCAAAATCTGGCCCGGCCCACTCCACCCCCTGCCCCGCCACCACTCTGCCCCCACCCCATCCCCACCCCGCCTGCCCGCAGGGCCATTCACTGCCTTCAGGGCCCGCTGCAGATCGCCCAGGCAGCCCAGCAGCACCGTGGTGGCCACACCCTCTGCCTACGCCCCACAGCATCAACTGTGCACAATGGGGTGTGAGAGCAGAGCCTTGTCTACGCTGCCTGGTTGCCATGTCCTTGGCTGCGCTGCTTTGCATGGGCCACACTCGGGGGCAACTCTCCTCCAGGGGGTCTGCTGGTGAGAAGGAGGTCATGGGAGAGGTGAGGCTGGGGCAACGGCACGTGTGCCATAGGTTCGCCACCACTGACTTAATTGATCTGGTATTAGTTAGGAGTTTCTTATACTACTATGTCTTTGTTTAAGGACAAAACATAGTTTTTAATCCAATCCCTTATTGTATTTCCATGACTGTAATAAAGATGCTCTGTTAAATTTATTTTCATATGGGATTATTTTCATTGTGATACATCTACTATAATTAGTGTAAATAAATAATAAAACAAAAAATAACTATGAAACTTTTTAAAACATATTTGTTTATTTTTTGTGATTTATTTGCTAGATCTTGCCCTTTCTTCCTAGGAATTTAAGGTGGCATACATTGTTGCTACCTCTTTCCATTATCTTTCACAAAAATGATCCTGTGAATTAGATGAGACTGTGAGTATGTGGCTAGCTCAAATGTGAGCTTTTGTGGCTGAGAATAGATTTGAACCTGGAACTCCCCTGTTCCAGTCCAACATTTTAACCACACTGGCCATTCAGAGATACTATCCCTCTTGACTCTAATTTGGATTCTGGCTGGTATAGTTGTCCCATCCTGCAAATCCCCACTCAACATCTCCATTAGTATTTTTGCAGGCCCTAGAGTCAGAAAGTTGCAGATCTTCATACATTTTCTGATACTAGCATACTGCTTAACACTGTGCCAGGAGAATACAAGTTCCCAGTAGCACTTGGGATATGCAGCTTTCACAAATTATATATTTATTAATATATCTGTTACATTGATATTCCACTGCAATCATGTATGGGCTTACTCCTAGACTTTTAATGTGTCAAAATCCCTTCATGAACTTCTGGGAATAATTACTAGACTGATGGTGGGTATCCATGGCTGCTGGTGCTTGGGAATTTTGATCTCCATGGTCTGGGAGTGGGTTTAGAGAAGAGTCAAATTTAGAAACAAGTGATTTGAGAATCCAGAAGGATTCCTGAGAACAGAGAATATCTTTGGTGTATCAGAGAGCGGAGGCTGGAAGTAAAATTTAGTAAACTCAAGTAAGAACTCATTGTGGGCCTTACCAAGAACAGGAAGTGACATTTATCCTTGGAAACTACAGTATGTACAAAATGCAAATGCTTGCCTACAGGTATATAACATTCATATTTCAAGCAGTGCATTGGTCACCAAAGACAATTAAAAGTGCTATTTATTACATGTAAAATTTGGCACCAGAGGACTGTCTGACTTCAGTTGAGTTGATTCATCTTGATTAGGAATATTGAGGGTTCAGAAAACTATATTTTTATGTTTTTTTTTTCTCAGTTTCTTACAAAAAGCTTGTAGAGATTTTGGTGGCACCCTCATTAGTAGCTTTTAGAAAAGCATTGAAAACTGAATTATTCTGGAGAATGTTTAATTATGGAACCCTGGGTGCTCACTGAGCTGGGTTGTTTGCTTTCAGATATTTTATTACTGTTAATAAGCATTAGTGATATTACTTAGTCAAATAATGAAATGTCT